ATTGTCGTGATTAGTAATTTATTTTCTTTCCTATATTTAATTTTTATCTGTTTTAAAAGTTTAATAGATAATATTTGAGGATTGTCTAACTACAATCCCATTTTACAGGTGTGGAGACTGAAGCTCAGTAAATAAATTTTCTAAGTCATATAATGAACCACACAAAACAGAGCTGTCTTGCTCCACAGGAACAAACAAAGAACAATTCAGAATAGAAATAATAAATATTCTCTTTAGTCTCCTTCATCTTGTCAATAATAGAATATCTCTCCATGAGGTAAACTGCTTCGGAGGCTTACAGATGTACTGGTAGGGCCATTTTCTTTAAAGAACAGATCTTTTCTAGGGCACACATTTTATTTGACTATAAGGAGACGGTTGAAAGTATGTGTTGTTTTCATCTTGAGATATCTTAGGTGCTCTTTGCTGTCAAGTTCACTTGACTCCTGGGAACCCCGTGTGTGTTAGAATAGAACTGTGCTCCCTAAAGTTTCAGGGACTGCCTTTTCAGAAGTCCATCTCCAGCCTATTTTCTCTTGCCACTGGGTGGACTCAGACCTCCGGCCTTTGGGTTTTCAGTTAAACATTTATACCATCCAGGGACCTTCTTGAAATAGAAGAGGAAGTAGACTCCCCCCCTTTTATTTTAGAATAAATCTCTCCATGGGAAAAGTGCTACTATACTGCATTGTATTCAGATTTCTCTAATTGTTTAAATGAGATTGGTCAGTTTCTAGCTAATTTATATTCTCTCTCATCTATTTATTCCTTTTTCCATGAACAGATGCCCCCCGCTGATGGATATTACTTTACACATGTTGAATGGGTATCTTCTTGCTTCTAAAGCCTACCTTAGTGCCCATCTGAAGGAAACAGCAGAGCAAGATAGATCTCAGAATAGTATGATAGGTTTAATTGGACAAATGGATGCCCCAGAAGTTACCAGAGAAGAATTGAAAAACGCATTACTGGCTGCTCAGGTAATAAAGTCTAGTCAAAAAGGGCAAGTGCTTCTCTGAATGAAATCAATTAAATAGGTGATATACTATGCCATCTGCGTAGCAGGGTGATAATGGTGTCACCTTTGCTTTTGAATACCAGTTACACTATATAGAATTTTACCGAAGCTTTAAGTAGTAATGCTTTCATGGTGGAGGATATGTAAGATAATAAAATGTAAGCAATGTGAGTTCTTTAATATAGAAATGTTTTCTTAATGTCAGATATATTTTCTGAATTCTTATTGGCAAATAAGTAGGATTAGGAGCAATTGTGTGGGTCCACAGTTCTTTGTCTGCCAACAGAAATCTGAAGGGCCAATGGAAACAGAAGCATCTTGGGTAATTCAGTTAGTAGAAAAACCTGACGTGATATAAACGTATTTGATGGAAAAACTTGAGTTGATGTAAAATAATTTATGATCGTTATCTTATTTAATATGAATATTGGTATTTGCTATAAAATTTTAATGTTTGATTCAACTTCTAAAACACACCTGGCCCAAGAATCTAAGCTGTGGGATTGAAGCCTGTATTAGCTAATATTTTAAAAATGATTTTATATCCTGGATGCTGCTATAAACTTAATGTATTATAGAGTTGCTATGAGTCAGATAGATATTCCTTGATGGCAGTGGTTTAGATCTTGATGGCAGTATTATAACTCATAGAGTCCTGAGGGCGGCAGCATTGTGCATTGGACAGCTAACCGCAGAGTCAGAAGTTTTAAACCACCAGCTGCTTCACGGGAGAAAGATGAGGCTTTCTACTCCAGTAGAGTCACAGACTCAGAAATCCACAGGGCCAGCTCTACCTAGTCCCATATGGTTGCTATGAGTCGGCATTGACTCTATGGCAGTGAGGTGTTTTTTATACTCATTTAACTTTTATAATCAACCCCTAAGTATTATTATCATTTTTATAGATTTGGAAACTGAAAGAGGTTACACATACAATGTGTAACTGCTCAAGGTTACACATTCAGTAAGTGGCAGTGCTAGGATTCAAGTCTGGCAGTCGGCAAATAAAAACGAATAATAACAGCAACCCCAAACTCCTCAACTGAAGAATGATGTTTGTAAAGTAAGATTAGCCTTACGTAATAAGCCATCAAGTTCTTAAACACTTGCCCTTCCTGCTGGGTAAGCGTGGTAACATATATGTATTTTTATGGGGAGAGGGCCTATGGTTTCCCTCAGATTTTTAAAGGGATTCATGACCCTAACAAAAGTGAGAATTACTACTTTATGGGTTGTTCATGTCTGTGTGCTTATGCTGATTACTTATTTCAAGAAACGATTTACTTTCTGTTTATGTGAAAACAATCAAATTTGGTTTTTAGACAGATTTCACAGAAACACTTTACATTCACTATGCTTTATTTGTTTTTAGGACAGTGCAGCTGTCCAAATTCTGTTAGAGATTTGCTTACCTACCAAAGAGGAGAAAGCAAAGCGTGTCAATGCAGACAGCTCAGTGCGGAATGTACACAGTGTTATTATCACCAGCGCTCCAAATAAGGACGTGGAGGAAGGAGAAGACAATTTGCTTTGTAACCTTCGAGAAGTTCAGTGCCTCATTTGTTGTCTGTTGCACCAAATGTACATTGCGGATCCAAACATTGCTAAGCTTGTTCACTTTCAGGTCTGTTTTCAAAGCATGATGCTTTATTGTAAACTTAGTTTTCTTGAGGCCTTTGAATATGAAGTTATTTGAGATCATTTATAAACTGGAGGTTCCACAGATGCAACGTGGAAGAAAATCCAGGGTTTCTTGATTTTGGTTTGGTTTGTTTGCTTTTATCAACTAGATAATTATCCGTATTCAAGTGCATCAGTGAAGTGAAATGCCAGGATCTGTGTAGTATATTGCAGTCTTCTAAGAACAACTGTCATAGGAAGGAAGTGAAAATTTATGAGGCTGCTTCCAAAGTGTGTGGGAAAATTCTGTGGTCTTTTAAATTCTTTTTTCTGCAAACCTTTTGAGTCTCATATTTTTATCTGTATTTGATTTGTAATCATTTTATTTCTAACATTTTCCCCTTCTTGTTGAGATAGGGTTATCCATGTGAACTTTTGCCTCTGACGGTTGCAGGTATTCCATCTATGCACATCTGTCTGGATTTTATACCTGAGCTTATTGCACAGCCAGAACTTGAAAAACAGGTAATGAGCATTTTAGAACAAATTTAAATCTCTGACCAGTATTGCTAGTTCTATAAAAAAGCTTATATAATTTTCAATGCTTGAAACATGTAATGTTTGGATTTTTATTGCAGATATTTGCTATCCAGTTGCTTTCTCACCTGTGTATCCAGTATGCCCTACCTAAGTCACTCAGTGTGGCTCGCTTAGCTGTCAATGTCATGGGGACTTTGCTAACAGGTGTGTAGCCAACCAGTGACAGCAACAATTTCTGGCATAAATTAGTACATCTAGCCTTTGAATTTAGTGACTTTGTACGTTTTTGTAATTAACTATTAGCTTAACTTGAATATCTTTGAATCATTATTCTTTTGAAAGTTTTCCAATTTATAAGTAAAATATATAGGGTAGAGGAGATGAATAGGTAGGCATATTATCTTTCCTTTTGTGAATGTATATGTACTGATTTCTAGTAGATGTAATAAACTCAAATTTTATAATGAAAACCAAATATACTTTTGTCATAGAATTATGTAAGTGGAAAACAAGGTAGGATTGATTATAAATACTTACAGTGCCAGAGAAAGATAATTTATATGTAGAAATAAGACATTCTTTCCTTACGTTCTAAAGCATATTTAACCTTTTATCCAACTTCCAATCTGTAATTTAAAATAGCAACAAAAAAAGACTAAGATTTCTACAATAATTCAGTCTTTCTGTTGTTTTTTTTTTTAGTCTTTCTGTTTTAACATAGCTAATTTAGAATTCTTTCTCAAGTCTCCCATAGTACCCAATGTGTTTCTTTTTCTTTTGTATTGCCTAATTATGTTATAACTATTTGTAGTCATTCAGAGCTTGTGGTTCTTGAGATAAATCCCTGGTCTACCACTAACTGTCTGTGTTATCTTAAACAAGGTTCTTAATCTCTAAGCTTTAAGGGTTTCTTGTATGTAAAATGGTTGTCATCGATTTTGAGCATTAAGTGAAATAATGAATATAGCACTTATCACAGTGCTTGGACATAGACCAAACATAGTCCATTGTGTTGGATGGTGACTGACTCATACTAGATTGTAGAAAGTGACTTCAGCACAGGATAGTACATTGTATAGGCCCAGTCACTGTATTTTGAAATTCTGTCTGTGAAGTAAAAACTTCTGTGTCATATCTTTCCACAGTTTTAACACAGGCTAAGCGATATGTGTTTTTCATGCCAACTCTGCCAAGCCTGGTCTCTTTTTGTCGAGCATTTCCTCCATTGTATGAGGATATTATGTCTTTGCTGATCCAAGTGGGACAAGTTTGTGCTTCTGATGTTGCCACTCAGACAAGAGACATCGATCCCATCATTACACGTGAGTGGTTACTTATTCTTAACAGTTATCTTACTGTTTCAAAGAGGCCAAAATCCTTTCTGGATTTCTTGCCTTAAATTTCTTTCCTTTCCTTATGTTTTTAGGTCTTCAACAAATAAACGAGAAACCAAATGGATGGTCTGGGCTCTGTAAAGATCCATCTTATAAAAATGGATCCAGGGACACTGGAAGCATGGATCCTGATGTACAGCTCTGTCATTGTGTTGAAAGTACAATAATTGAAATAATAAACATGAGTGTTAGTGGAATTTAAAGAAAAAAACTCCAGCAAAAAAGGAAGCTGAAGCTGTTGCATATGCCTGAATCTGTGTCTTAAAATATTGTAAAACTGGATGGGGACAGTCATGTTTTAGAATCACTATAAAAGAATTCAGCATGAATAGAATTTAGAACTCAGAGAATTATGCTTGAAAGTATATGACTGACGGGTCTTTGGATCTAGTTTGCTGGTATGTTTATATTGTAGCAGCTAAACTTTTTTTTTCTTTCCATTGGGAGCACATTAAGAAACTCATTGGAAAACAAATCTGGCATTTTGTTTAGTTTTAAAAGTGAGGAAAGACAGCCATGCTTTTAATTTATTTAATCTCTTGTAAAAATCTGTGGGTAGCCTTAGTGTTTCTTTTAATGTTCGGCTTGTAACAGAGTGTTACAATGATGCCATGGTGACAGGAAAAAGGGGATCAAGAAAAGGGAGAATTAAGGTAAAATAAAGAATTAAATTCTCAAATAGAAATCTCAAAGACCTCAATGCAAGGGGAATAACGCAAAATGGAATTCCAGTTCTCAAGCAGCTATGTTGAGAATGGTTTCAAGAAGATGAATAACTTTTATAAATATTTCCATGGACCTACAGATGAAAATTTAAAGGTTTTACATATTTGCTTCAATTTTTATGAATACGTGAAGCCATATGTTTAAACAGATACTTGAATCGTTTGGAATTTTAAGAATCACCTTTGTGCAAAGAACCTGAAGGGAGATTTCATTTAGTTTCTCTTTTAAAAATTATTTTTATAATACTTTATTAACTTATCAGTTACTCAGACAGAAAAATAAGCAAAGAAAGATAGAGCAATAAAACCCACTGAGCTCTGGGTTTGTTGTCAGGATTATAATTCATATATTACTTTGAAAAAGTGGTTAAGAAAGAAAATAAAGTGTTGAGTCTCAGGAAAAATTAAAGAAAATACTGTCTTGCTGACAGATTTTTGCAGTCTTCTGCTGGTAATTTCTATTAATTAAGTAGATCTATTCAGGTAATGTATAATTCTAATTAAAAAAATTAAGTATCCACTGTTTAAGGTATTTTGCTTTTTGAGAAATAATAACCCATTCTCCCCACTCTCCTAAAAGATCTCTTAACTTGTAAAACAAGTCAGGCAAGCTATTAAGAACATACATTTTTTTAATGAAAAAAATATAACGTCAGCCTTTCATTAGCAAATCGTCACATCCCATTTTGACTCCTTTGGAAATGGAATCACTACTGGCCCTACCTCAGAAGGGTTTATTACATAAGAAGTAGCTGTTTCAAATCATGAAGTACATAATATACATGATAGAATATTTATAACTTTAGACGATTAACATTCAATTAAGGAATTTTTATGGGAAAAATAAAAGCATACCCTTTAAAAAAAAAGAATTTTCCTATATTTAGCCAAAGCAGTTTGTTTGTCCTTTAAGATGAAATAAAATTGCTCCTTTTTTGTTGTGTTGTGTTTTTGTTTTGAAACAGCCTTGGCATCTTTTCTGTAGTGTGTATCTGCCAGGAGGTCAGGGAAGGTGGAAGTAAAAATGTTTTCTAATTAGATGCAGTCCACATTCCTGGATCAATTTTCAAAGACTGGTTAAAAATCTGCTGTGTTAAAAGAACAGCATGTGCTGTTTTTCTTCAGATTCCTTGATGTAAAATATGTAAATATATTAGTAAATGTTAATATTTGTGTATTGTAAGTTAAGGATCTAAAATTGATTACAATGTGATTTTTTTTAATTCAAGTTAAAACAGATGTGGGTAGCTATTTTGAATATTGATTTATAAACGTTCATACTCTTTATCAAATGAACTTGGTTTGTTGTTTAATTCCACTACTGTTAAACCTGAAAGCACAGTTCAAGGGATTAGAATCCAAGACCATCTGTCTCCAGAGCCCATGGGAATTCTGTTTTGCCATGTTAAATGGCAATACAAGGTTGAAGCCAATTGACAGCTTTGGGAGAGGAACATTATAGTAGTTAACTGGTATGGTTATTTAAATTATTTTATGTATAAAATTATAAAGGCAGAATAACATCTTGAAGGTATTTTAATGGTTATGAATAAATATTATTCTTCATGCCACTGTCCTAACAGTCAATTACATTTTAATTTTTTTGTTCTTTTATGCATACGTATTTTCACATAACTAAGTTCCTGATGCCAATTTGGAGTCTGCCTTTTTCCATTTAACTTTGCATGGAATTTCTCCCAGAAAGTTGTTTAGTTTTATAATTATTTTTCTGGCTTCATAATCTCTTGAATTGATAATATAATCATCCCACTACCACTAATCTTGGAAGGTTTTTTTCTCCTTTCGCAGTGTATGTGTCACAAATAGGCATTGCTATCAATTGAGGTGCTACCACTTTTTTCCCTAGGTTACTTCTTTCGGGTAAATTTCTGGGACTGAGAGTACTAGGTGAAAAGATCATTTTTATGAGTACTACAAATTTTGACATTTTGGGAAGATGGAGAACTATAAGGCAAACAAAGCAACTTGTCCCCTGACCATCCCTTACCGCTCGGAGGATGCTTCCCCGTGCCAAATTCTAGTTACCTTGAATTTGACAGGTTGTGTTAGGATTTGCTTCCCGCCCCTCCCCCCCTTTTCTTTTTCCCTTGAGTAATTGAGTATTGTTGCTAAATAGATTGTCATTCCTCCTTAAGGGGTATTCACCTTACACCCTCCCAACACTAGTTTTTTTCTCTGCCAAGAAGTATACAAAGATACTTCTATACCTTATTTCTTTATCCCTGAGGCTAACTAAAAAGTATTGTTACAAAATCGTAGAAACATTTACTAAATAACACAAATGTATGGTTATTGTTTCTCATCAGAGTCTCTATCTAGGTGTTGTGAAGGCTATTTTCCCAGGCCTCCACCTCTCCGAATTCTGAGGTCTTCTATTTACACCCAAACTACCTTTTTGTACATCCTCAAGGGACTCAAATCGTGTTCCATTTCAATATTCTTTGAGTTTGGGGAACACAAAGCCTAAAGGGGCATGACCATGGCTGTGTGGTTTCCCAAAAAAATTCTCAGGACAAACCTGAGGATGCATAGGTGCATTATCATGATCAAGTAGAAAAATTACTCAATGTTGATTTCCTGGCTTTCCCCCACAGGTTTCATTAAAAAAAAAAAAAAAACACAACAAAACAACCCCCCAAAGCTTCCTATTAAAGTACCCGTGCTTGTCCTGTGCCTTTTAAGAAAATATCAAGATAACTTTTGCCTTTTCTGAAATCCCCAAATTGTTTTCTTAACCTGAGCCTTGGGTTAAACAGGTCCTGCAGAGCCCGTCGGAAGCCACTGTTTTGATTGGACCTTGCTTTCTGGATTGTATTGATTAATCCAATATTCATCCCACCCAAGTTACAATTTATTCCATAAAATCATCATTAGCTTAGATTTTGATTAAGAGGCTGATGGAAAGATCATCTCTGAGCTCATAAAATTTTTTTAAGGCACTCTAAAGAGACTAGGACAAGTATATGTAGATAATTTGTAGCCATCCAGTGATTAGAGAAACATTTAAACATGCTTTGTGTGGAATAGGTGCATGTATGAACTGGGACCCTAGTAGCCATGCTTTTTTGACACATCTTCCTAGAAGTGACCTGGGGCTGTTTTTTTGTTTGGTTTGGCCCCTTCCAGTTGGTTCCTACACAGAGCCATCCTGTGCACAACAGAACAAAACAGTGCCTGGGCCAGCACCTTCCTCAATTGTTAAGCTTGAGCCCTTTGTTGCAGCCAGCGTCAATCCATCTCATCAAGAGACGTTCTTTATTTTTCACTAGTGCCTTCAGTGCAACCTGGACCTCTTCCTCCAGTACGATCAGCCCTGATCATATGCCATCTCTTGAAATGCTTACTGTTGACTAGTTCTTTTTATATAGTGACTATTCTTTCCATCTTCTTTTGAAGCTTCCTGCATAATTCAACGATGTTCTTGATGTCATTTTACAGCACGTGTAGTCTGTACTGTTCAGTGAGTCAAATCTGGGGCTAGAGATCTTGCAAGCGTTATATAGTTATCTACAAAGCCTTGAGGACGGGCTTGAACACTAATCTTAGTCAGTTGGCAGGTCACTGAGCCTCTCCGTGTGAAAATTTAGCTTAAAAACAGACGAAAACCCCATTGGCCATAGTCGGTCCTGACTCTTCGTGACCCTAAAGGGCAGAGTAGAACCGCCCGGCCGTCAAGATTTCCACAAAGTATTCCTGATAAGCAGCTGGTGAGTGACCCGTCAAACTTTTTGGTTTATGGGCAAGCGTTTAGCCACAGGGCACCAGAGCCGCTGACCGTGTGGAGCCTTGGTTTTGCCGCACTCGTGACCCTAAAGGGCAGAGTAGAACCGCCCGGCCGTCAAGATTTCCACAAAGTATTCCTGATAAGCAGCTGGTGAGTGACCCGTCAAACTTTTTGGTTTATGGGCAAGCGTTTAGCCACAGGGCACCAGAGCCGCTGACCGTGTGGAGCCTTGGTTTTGCCGCACTCGAAATTTAAACTTATGCTCAGAGAACTCGTCAAGGTAGTTTCTACTAACTTCAAAACTGAGATTTCAGGTTTCCAAGGAAACCGCTGCCAGGGCTTCTAAAGTCAAGCCGAAAAAGCCTTTTTCTTTAAAACAGACTTGTTTGTCCTCCCGGTTCACTTTTCCGGAAATCTACCTTCCGGTGCCGCCAAGTAACTAGGGGGTGGCTCTTGTTTCCGGGGCTTGGATTGGCTGGTAGAGGGCTTCGCTCCTGGATTGGCCGCTTGGTTTCCAGTCTGAGCGTGTGATTGGCTGGCTGGGCGCTCTCGGCGATTGGGCGCTGAGAGTTGAGGGTGGGAGGCGGGAATTCGTCGGGAAGAGTGTGGCTGCGGGGTTTTGTCTAGATTTCCAGGGTGAGAAGGTGAACGAGCGCTGACCCCGGGTCCTGGAGGCGGGAGTCAAGACCGTGGAAAGGTGGAGGGCTCAGGTTTGTAGCCTTTCCTCTGCCCGGGCTCCGCAACATGTGCTGTCGGAAATCGGCTGCTTTTTCTCCCGTTGCTTCGGTTTTCCTCAGGACCACCGAGTCGGTCTCACGGAGAGCCTGCCCGAAGGGTGCCTTCTGCTTTTGCCCAACCCACTTTGCAAGGCCCATCTGTGAACTGGGTCCCCTGGGCCTTGGGGGAGCACTGCGCATGTGAGAGGAAGCAGGCGTGGAGAGAAGCCAGGGTAGAAGGCCGCCTCCCCACCGCCCCGGAGCAGAGGTCTGTTTCGAACCGGTGTCTCTGAGTTAGCTCCGCGCCGGAGGGCAGCCAGGAGGCAGGCTGTCTGTCCTGTGTGCAGTTCGCGGTGCACTTCTACGTTATCGCTGTAACTCGGGTCTTCACGCGTTGACTCAGATTGAGATGCGACTTTAGGACCGTGGTTCTTTCGGAACACACAGGCTCTGATTTAGTGTATTATTGGAGTTCTGATCCACTGTATTGCCGGCATCTACTTTTGTCATTCATCCACTCCTAGATTGAAATTACTTTGTTTTTTTCGACTATTGCACGTAATTCTTCAATTGTTAACACTTGATTTTCTGTTTTCGGTTTTCATTGATTTATTTAGAATGTATTTGTGGCGACGAGAAAGATATCTGAGTTTTCTCCACAGAACATACAAGCATGCACAGAAACTTGAGTGCAAGCAACTTCAAGAGGTCCCGGTTACACCTAGAGATCCGAGGTTAAAAGCATAGATTAGAAGAGGTGGGGATTAAAGTGGATCACTTTTTCTGTGTTCAATGCATTAGATAAATTCTGGATTAGATGCATTCGGGATGTTACTACAATTCTGAGTTCATTGCCTGGCTACATACTGTTACTGATTTTTATGAATACCCCATTAGGTCGGTAGCACTATTGCCATTTTACAGGTGAAAAAAGAGGCTCAGAAAAGTGAAATGAGTCATATAGTGAAATTCGGATTTAGGCCTGCCTTATTCCAAAGGCTGCCCTCTTTTCAGTATACCCTACCGAACCCGCTGCCATTGAGGAATTCCAGCTCATAGCAACCCTGTAGGATAGAGCAGAACTGCGCCATACACAGGCTTCCCAGGCAGTAAATCTTTATGGGAGCAGACTGCCTCAGCTTTTTCCCCAGAGCAAACCACTGACTTTGGGGTTAGCAGCCCACTGCTTAATCCACTGTTACTAGGGCTCCTGTTAAACCCTATTGACCTTTAAAAATTGTTGAGAACTCCCTTCAGTTCTATGTCACTTTCTTCCTTATAACAACCTTTAAATGAGATTATTATAATCAAAAGTCTTCAGAGCAGTGAAAAGATGTCTGAGTTGCTGTCAGACTTGATCTAAAACTTGTTTCCTGACTCTTGATCCAGATTTTTTTCCTTCTAACTGGAAGACTACAAAAAGGGAAAACGGGAATGGATACAATAGAAGCGGGTCAGGGGAAGTGTGCTCTGGAGTTATAAAGAGCTTTGATAAGAAATCTTGCTGTGGTGAAGAAAGCTGATGGTGCCCGGCTATCAAAAAGTATAGCGTCTGGGGTCTTAAAGGCTTGAAGGTAATCAAGCGGCCATCAAGCTCA